TTAATGTTTAGATTATCTACATTCAGTAGTAAATGTGTTTCTAAACGCGGGATGCATTTTTAACTAAATGTGTTTTGTACCACATTTTGACAACTTTTGTTTTGACTACGATTCAGCTTATAAGAAAATAAAATAATGCATCTTCTCTCCACTGTTAATAATGTTAATGAAAAGTTGACCTATGGAAAAAAATACTAATTTATACACATTCTCATTGTTTTCCTCACTAAGGACATTAACACTTGATTATTCTGTAACAAAGAATTATCATGGAATGAGAGTTTCATACAAATACTTTTGGTCAATACAATGTGCTTGATTTTACCTAGATGACTTTTCTTTTCTTCTTTTTTTTTTTTTTCGAGACAGGGTCTTGCTATGTTACCCAGGCTAGCCTCAAACCCCTGGCCTCCTGGCTTCAAGTGATCCTCCCACCTCAGCCTCCCAAAGTGCTGGTATTACAGGTGTGAGTCACTGCTTCCTGCCTCACTTAGATGGCTTTCTTAGTGAATTATTTAACCTGGTTCTAAAGCTTTTTGACAATACTCTCAAATATTTATGGATTTTATAACATAATAATTTAGGAATTATATAGTTATAAATTTTATAAATGATTTTGTGGTATTGCCACAGATCATCACCATTATACAGGAGGTATAGCATAACCATGGTTTAATATATTTTCATAAACTATGGACCAAACAAAGACTGGTCAGGACCAGGGCACGCATGCATTTTATATGTGTGGTGCCTGTTGGAATATGCCAGACCTCCCATGAAAAAATCAGTAAGTTTATCTTATAGGACCAACGGCCCGACATTCCTGAAGTCACTACCACACTTTGCACTTATCTCCATGTGGAAATAGATAGCCACTGTTGAATTCTGGTGAGAATAACACCTCTGAAATCTCTCAGCTTCACAACTCTATTACAGCCCTCAGAGAATCTTCTCACATAGCACCAAACAACAACTTTAGGAAGTGATGTTCCTAGAATGAATCAGTTTCTAAAATTAAAAATGAAAACAATGACGAGGAGAGGGGAGGGCCAGGGAAGAAAGGCTGATGCTACTAAAAGACAAAGAACAGTGTAACCTCTTATGAGGATGGTCCAGACACTCAGGAAAATGCAGGAAGAAATAAAAGATATGAGTTTGAACCACACAGTGATGGTTAACTTTATGTGTCAACTTGACTGATCTATGGGACACCAGATAACTTGTAAAGCACTATATTTGCGTGTGTCTGTGAGGGTGTTTTGTGAAGAGATCAACACTTTAATCAGTCGACTGAGTAAAGCAGATAGTCCTCACCAATGTGGGTACACATTGTCCAATCTGTTGAGTGCCTGGATAGAACAAAAAAGGCAGAAGAAGGGTGACTTCCCTTCTTTTCTTAAGCTGGGACATCTATCCTTTCCCACCCTCAGAAATGAGAGGTTTGGATTCTTGGGGCCTTCGGACTCTAGGACTGACACCAGTGGCCATCTCTGGTTTCAGGCCTTTGGCCCCAGATTGTAAGTTACATCAGCTTCCTTGGTTCTCAGGCTTTAAGACTCAGGCTAAAATACACCAACAGCTTCCTTTGTTCTACAGCTTAGGGTCAGCAAATCATGAAACCTTCTGCCTCCATGATCATGTAAGTCAATTCCCATGATAAATCTGTGCTTATACATCTGTATCTTTCCTTTTGGTTCTACTTCTCCAAAGAACTTTAATGTACCTGCTGTATAACCTAGCCCATAATAATGATAACCTCATGCAGATTTCCTAGTGAAGTTATCTGTGAATAAGATGATGGTATTCTCAGAATCTGGGGGGTATGAGCTAGAGTGATCAACCACTGCAGTGAGCCTGGGATTGAGGAGATTTCTGGAATGTGGAATATTTGGTGTCAAAACCAAGAAATAATACAGCCATATGGAAAACAAATAGAACTACCATATGATTCAGCAATCCAACCACTGGGAATTTACCAAAGGAAAGGAAACCAGTACATAAAAGAGAATCTGCACTCCCATGTTTACTGCAGCACTGTTCTCAATAGCCAAGATATGGACTCAACCTAGGTGATTGGATGAACGGATAAAGAAAATGTGGAATATATACACCATGAAATACTATTCAGCTCTAAAAAAGAATTAGCCAAAGAAGTGGCTTGTGCCTGTCATCTCAGCTCTGGGAGGCTGAGGTGGGAGGATCCCTTGAGGCCAGAAGTTTGAGACCAGCCTGGGCTACATAATAAGACTCGGTCTCTAAAAAAATAAAAAATAAATAGGCCTCTTAAAAAATAAAATAAAATCCTGTCATTCACGGCAACATAGATGGGACTGGAAGACATTCAGTGAATTTAGCCAGGAACAGCAAGTTAAACACCACATATTCTCACTCATATGTGGAAGCTAAAAAATGTTGATCTCATAGAAGTAAGAAGTAGAACAGAGGACACTAGAAGCTAGAGAAGATAGGAAGAAGGAAGGGAAAGGGAAAGATTTGTTAACAGATACAAAAACAAAACTACAGTTAGGGGAATAAATTCTAGCATCCCGTAGCACTATGGGATGACTGTAGTTAATAATAATACATTAATTAGTCTCAAATAGCTAGAAGGAGGATATTGAATATTCCCACCACAAGAAAATGACAATGTGTGAGATGATGGATATGGTAATTTTCCTGATCTCATCGCTCTACGTTGTATGTTTCAACACATCACTATGCACCCCACAAATGCGTACCATTTTTACTTGTCCACTTAAAAAAGATAATAAATTTAAAAATAAAATAAAAACTAAATTAGTGTTCTCAGGGGGAAAAAAAGAAACAGGACGGTCCCAGGCAAAACTGGATGAACTGGTCACCTTATGTGCATCTGCCCCACCTAGATGGCTGCTCAAAGTTTCCCAGGCTCCCCATAAAGTTGTTCCACTGCTCACTGGAACTTCCCTAGGCAGGTTGGGCAAATGCTAATTTGCAGCAATGGTGAATTTATCACTGACGTTTCTTTAGTTCCTCTCCTTGGCATCTGCTTTTTCTTTACTGTAATGCTGTTTGTTGAAATACACAACATTCTTTTTCTTCCCTCGAGCTACTCAGGGTGACCTTTCTTTTCACATTTTCCCAAGCCACTTCCATTATGTCAGAATAAAACAGTCCTGTGTGGCCATTGCTCATGACCTTGTTTCCTGCCATGTGAAGATAAGATCGGCTGCTCTTTCTTCTCCTCCTTCTTCTTTTTTTTTTTAGAGACAGGATCTCTTTCATGGTTGTAGCTTGTAGCAGCCTCAAACTCCTGGGCTTCTCTCACCCAGCCTCCTGAGTAGCTGGGACTACAGGTACACACCACCATGCCCTACTAATCATTCGTATGCATGTTGTTCTAGAGATAGGGTGTTGCTCTGTCACCCATGCTGAAGATCAGCTGCTCTTTCTAATATGTGGTTAGATAAGAATATCTATCTCTCAGGTGATAAAATACTACTTGGAATAAAGATGTCTTTAAAGTAATCCCAGAGAAGAAAACATTTTTATAGTATGACAGGCAGAGAAAAGAGAATATTTGTTAAGGCAAGACTTTCACCACTCCCAGTACAATAATCTGTTTGTTACCTACATACCTTACATAGGCTGGCACTGCTAGGGGTACAAAGTAGATGCCAAATTTCACAATGGTTAGATTCATTTTTAGAAAGCCACTGGATCAAACCTTTGTGCAAATTTCCAGCTTTTTTCCATACCAAATATGTGTCCATGATAAAAGGATCTCAAGAGCATAATTGTCAAGAAAGTCCGTGTCTGTGAGAATTTTAATGTCTTTAATGAAATCTGTTCCCATCATTACTCAAGATATTGTAAAAAGAGTATTCCACACAGACTAAGCACCCAATAATCATTGATTGACCAAAGAATGGTCATTATCTAATGCACCACAATCATTTATGCAAAGGGCCCACAGGAATCAGTATAATTCCATAGGCATCCTTTTCTTTTCCTTTGAGAAAGAAACAGATAGTGTTTTGTATTAGGTTTCTTGTGTGTGTCATGAGGGGGAAAGATATGAAAAGAAACTTGATCAGAGCATAAATGTGGGCCCAGGGTATAGGAAAGAATGAGGGCATAAAGGAAGAAAACATAAATTATAGACAGGCAAATCAAACCTATTAAAACTGATAATTTTTTTTTTTTTTTTTTTTTTTTTTGAGACAGAGTCTTGCTCTGTTGCTCAGGCTGGAGTGCAGTGTCCCGATCTCGGCTCACCGCAACCTCCTTTTCCTGGGTTCAAGCGATTCTCTTGCCTCAGCCTCCTGAGGAACTGGGATTACAGGCACACGCCACCATGCCCAGCTAATTTTTGTATTTTTAGTAGAGACGGGGTTTCACTGTGTTGGTCAGGCTGGTCTCAAACTCCTGACCTCGTGATCCACCTTCCTTTGCCTCCCAAAGTGCTTGGATTATAGGCATGAGCCACCATGCCTGGCCAAAAACTGATAATTTTTTAACACTAAAAATGTACATTCATTTGAACAAAAAGATTCTATAAAGCAAGGTTTTGTTGTTCTTGGCAGCACTACCATGCCCAAACTGCCTTAGGAGATGAATATCAGAGTCAAATTTAAAAGCACCTGAAATTTAAAATAAAAACCAATTTACTTTGTATTTAAGAAAAGCAAGCAGATGGGCCTGCTAATAATGTCAAAGTCTAGTTTGCAAAGAGAAAAACAAATCTGGAATCCAAAGTCAAATGAGTTCAAAATAAAAAGCAAACCAATAAATAAAAACAAACATAGACAGAAGTTACTCCCAATTCCCTCAACCTGTGAAATCCTGGAACTTCTCTTTCTCCCTTTCTTTTTCTCTTACCTGGAAGAGGAGCAGGGTGAACACATCAGGGGTTGTCAGTTCCACAGATGGCGCCACATTCGTAAACCACAAACTCCAGGAGAATGTAGGAAGCTTAGTCAAAGCCAAAGTTCTCTTTGGATCCTCCACATGGGCTTCAAGACAAAAAAAAAAAAAAAAAAAAAGAGTTAGCTTGAGAATATTATTATATCCATTAGTTTGAACCACACAAAATTGCAGTTTTTATAGGTAAAACGAATGCATGTTGGCAATTTCAAATGATTAACCCTAATACATTATGCTTTTGAATATAGAAATGTTCAGATCTTAAACATACGCAGTTAAATACAAAATCAGGTATATACCTGCTTCTATAATTAAAGCAAAGAGACTTTCCTTTGGTCACCACTCCTTCTGACATAAGGTATGGACCAGGTTCAGGAGCCCGGAAAGTCTTGTCTGGGTCATTTCTCCACCTCTCACTTGTCCTGCTGTCTTGGTTGGTCATTGTGTTCTGAACTGTCTCATAAAACACCTGCTATGACTCCACTTTCTCCTAATGGGGTGGCTTTCCATCCTTGGCACTTCATTGGCCTTATTGGTATGCTTTATACACTGGTTCTCATTTCCAAACTGCATTATTATTGTAATGATTCCTGCTGCTCCCCCATATTTACCATCTTTCTCCTGATCTCTTTCACCTGTACATTTCCTACACTGTCTCCTGTGCTTCCTTTACCCCATAATCATTGCCCAAGTGTGTCCTCTTTCTTCTCCTTGGGACATTTCCTTTGCCTGCTCTCACGTATGCAGAGATGGCTTTTGGTTTTCCTTCTGAAATCTCATAATTTGGAGGCAAACTTGTTAGTAAGGCCACTCAGAAACCTCGTCACTATCTTTCTCATTTTCTAATTTCTAGAAATAAGATCCAAAGAACTCACTGCCTCAGCACTTTCAGTTCAGGCTGAACTAGGTTGATCAAACTGAACTTCTGAGTGCTGATCAAAACCTGTAAAACCAAGTAGACAGACCATCTACAAATCTTCACTGTTAATACCATAAAGAATGAGAAGGTCACCGATTGGTAAGACCATATGTGCAATAATTAAATTTATGTATCAACTTGGCTAGGCTAAAAAATGACCAGATAGCTGGTAAAACATTATTCTGGGTGTCTATAAGAGTGTTTTGGGAAGGCATCAGCATTTGAATTCGTGAACTTAGTAAAGCAGTTGGCTCTCACCAATAAGGGCAGGCATCATCCAATCTGTTGAAGGCCCGAATAAAACAAAAAGGTAGAGGAAGGGAAAATTTGCTTCTTTTCTTCTTGATCTAGGATATCATCTTCTCCTGCCCTTGGACTTCAGCGTTCCTGGTTCGTGGGCCTTCAGACTTAAACCAGGATTGACACCTTCAGCTTCCCTGGTTCTCAGTTCTTTGGACTTGGACTGAATTACACTGCCAGCTTTCCCGGTTCTTTAGCTTGCAGATGGCAGATCATGGGACTTCTTGCCCTCCACAATTGTGTGAATCAATTTCCATTTTATTTACATAGCCAGTCGTGCATTGCTTAACAATGGAGATATGTTCTGAGAAATGCATTGTTAAGTGATTTCATCATTGTGCTAACATCATAGAGTGTAATTAGACAAACCTAGACAGTATAGACTATGACACACCTAGGCTACATGGCGTAGCCTGTAACATAATGATAAGTATGTATGTATTTAAACATATCTAAATGTAGAAAAGGTACAGTAAAAATATGGTATAATCTTATGGGATCACCATCATATATGCAATCCTTTGTAGACTGAAATGTCATTGTGTGGTGCATGACTGTATATGCACACACACACGCACACACACACACACACACACACACACACACACACACACAAAGACATCCTATTGGTTCTGTTTGTCTGAAGCGCCCTAATACAATATGCTATACATTGATGATACTGACTCTAGTTCAAAATTCATGGTTTTGATGAAACATATAAGGAGATGGGGCATAGGTGTGTGTCCTGATGATGAATGGGTGGGAGGCGTCATTTGGGACAAACCCAGGGCATCAGCTTGTAGGTATCAAGAGCTCAACAAGAGTGCTTTAGGCCTGGTGCGGTGGCTCACGCCTGTAATCCTAGCACTTTGGGAGGCTGAGGTGGGTGGATCACCTGAGGTCAGGAGTTCAAGACCAGCCTGGCCATCATGGTGAAACCCCATCTTAAAAAAACAAAACAAAACAAAACAAGAGCACTTTATAGTAAAGACCACCACAAAACCTCTCAGAAGTTATGAAAACTGTTTCTATTAAAAGTTTTTTCATGACAGATGACACTTATGGATAAAACAGGGATTAGCAGGATTCTTCAAATACTTTTGAACACTGACCTTCATTTCTACCAGGCAGTGGGGTCCCAAGTACAGGGCTGTGGGAAGTGCTAGTCTGGGAAATATTAGGCTTCACTGTCTGTAGAGAATCTGAAAAAAATAATAGAGTCAACTGAAATGCAGTTTGGTGTCATTCTTACCATGCCTCATAATTCTAAATCATACCAGTGTTCAAATACTCTTCCCTGTAAAAACCTTTCCTTGGTTTGCATTCTAAATAATTGCTGTAGTCACCAGTGAGCTTTTAAATATATAAATCGTTTCAAGTTTGCACATTTTTATTACCTGTTCCCTAACAAACGTTTAATCAGATGTGAAAATTGTTATGGAAAACATCCAGGTAGACAGTCCTTGACTCTTAAGGACTCAGGTACATACTTAGGGTAGTTCATGGCCCTAGTCTCTGGGGTACCACATATTTCTTCTTCAAATCACAGATTCAAAATCAAGAATGATAACACAGTGATTGTATAGACAAAATAACCAAAACTGCTTTGCTTCTGTCATTCTCTGGGAATACTTAGGGTTTTTACTTGTGTTTAAAATTTTAAACAGTAAAACAGAGCGTGAACTTCATGCTGTAATATTTTTGGCTTTTTAGACACAAATTTTAAGTACATAAAATATTTTTACAAGACTCAGTAACATCATTAAAATTACAGTTTTCTTCTTTTTAAAATTGGTATTTGTTTTAAAACTAAAGAGCAAATCATCAAGAAAGGCATAATTATTACTGATTATTACAGGATTATTACCAAAAAAGAAATGTATGGATACAGGAGGAAGGGGTTAACAAATGATCCAGTGTGGGTACTGAAAACACCAATAAGCCACAGCTTCCAGGGAGTGCCTAAGACAGAGCTGGCTCAGGGTGCTGGGTCACAGCATGTAAGGAAAACTCTGGGCTACATGCCACCACCATCAGGTGTCCAGATAGATAACCCCATAGCCCCATGGGAAAAACACAATCTTTAATTACGATATAGCTGACACCGTTCAAAGCACTACGCTAAGTCCTTTATGTGAATTAATTTTTGTAAAATTTATTTTTCACAAATAACCCAAATATGTTTACCATTATTATCCTACTTTACAGAAGGAGAAACTGAAGCTCCTAAAGTTTAACTATCTAACCCAGTTAAAACTGCTAGTCACCCTAGGCTATTAACTCAGGCAGTCTAACTCAGATATCATAATATTATGCTGCTGTCTCCAGCTTTGACTGTGTCTGAATTACAGCGTCATGCTATCTAACTAAAAAGCTAAGGGAATTAAAATGAGCCATAGAGCTCAATTTCATAAAAGGAAAGAAAATATTGGGGTAAAGTGATAATGCAGAGTTTAAAATATTTTTGTAAAAGTGCCAGAGATTATTACCAGTGTGATCCCCTCCCCCCCCCAAAAAAAAAGAGAAATAGAGATATCAGAGGAAGGAAATGAAGGAGGGGAGACTAAATTCTGTTTTAGCATTCAGATTCCACAAATCACATTTCTTTGTTACCAACTAAGGAAAAGTAACACTTGATCTAACATTTCATTGCAGTTAGTTAAAAGATGCTAGAAAAACTATGTATCAGTTGGTTTGCTCTAACTTCTTCAGGAATAGAGATAAGTGACAAAAAGATCAGAGAAGAGAATGGAAACTATCAGAAAAATACAAAATTGGAGTAGGATATTTTGGTTTAAGGTACAATTTGTTACTGTGATGTTAAGTATCTTGCTACTTCTAAGTTTGGTCCCTGGAATAGCAGCATCAGAATTTGCTGGGGGCTCACTAAAAATGTAGAATCCCAGGTCCCACCCCAGACTTACTGAATCAGAATCTATATACTGATGAGATGCCTCAGGATTTGTATGTACAGTAGAGTTGGAGAAGTTCCGCTGTAGCCTGTGACTGTTTTCCGTAACTTGGCATTTCCAAGTTTTCCCAAAGAGAAAACCCAAGCCTTAGCTTCTGGCAGACTATGTGTTTCTCTTTTACTTACTAGCTGCATGACTCATGAGCAAGGAACTCAATCTTTATGTGCCTCAGTTTCCTCATCTGTAAAATAGGGACTATAATTATCATCTCCCAGACTTGTTTTGAGGACGTTCAATAAATGCTCCTTTCATTTCTCTATTCACGGACCTGTCTCAGACAATTCTGCTACCAGCCTTTGCGCTATTGTCTAAACTTAGTAATTGGGTGTTATTTAGAGACTATACTCTGAAATAAATAAGCTGATTATCTATTTTCTCAAAACAGCAGAATACGATTTAGGAAATTATCTCTTAAGATATTATTGTACACTTCTATATTCTCCTACTTTGAGTTGATGTGTGAGCAATATGTCACTTTCATAAAGCCAAGTATACATTATGGACAGATAGGTAAAAAACTTATTATTTATTCCAGGCTTTTGTCCAGGAGTTTTAAATTTCAACTTTTATGCATATGTTGATAATGTAAAACAAATTCAATACGATAGTGTTCAGTACAGTATTTAAGCCTCTGTACTTAAATATATACCTTGTGCCAATGAGGTTACATGAAAACCAAATTTGTGTGAGATATTGCAGAATAAAGTAAATTAATCTTTATGTTATCCACAAATTGAAATGCATTTCAAAAACTGTGTGTGTGTGCGTGTGTGTGTGTGTGTGTGTGTGTGTGAGAGAGAGAGAGAGAGAGAGAGAGAAAGAGAGAGAGAGACGCTTTGGTTGCCTCCATCAACTGGCTGCTATGATTAATAAGAGTAAGTTTTTTAAAGAAAATGAGATCGTTAAAAAAGCCCTCTTTATGCCCATCTTTTATCAGGGGCAAAAAGGAAAGAGACAAAACAGCATGAAATGATGAGACCAAGTGATGAAAATTCATTCACAATGATTACTTTCAAGAGTAATTTCTCTTGGGTAATTCAGCAGCCTGTTACTATGGCCCTCTAGAGTGATAGCTAATGTAAATGAAGCCACTAAAAGTGGATTATCCTGACAAGAATATACTCAACCAATAATGCAACAGAAATCCATTCAAAGCTTTTGGGAAAAATTCAAAAGAAGAAATATTCTTTTTCTTTTTCTTTTTTTTTTTAAATTAATGACCTATGATGCATTTCTTCCCTGAAAGATGCACTTATTCCTGAAAGCAAATTTTAATAAATGAGATGCATTACTTCCTTTCTTCTTTTTTTTAACAAGCAGCAAGCATTTAAAAATATCCAGCCAGGATGAAATAGAAATCCACCTGACTTATCAATATTTTTGCTTGGTCCCAGGGACTCAGATTCTAAGCCAAATTCTTTGAGTGATCTTGGAAAATGTCTCAAATTATTTTTGCCAATTTTTCTTATCTTGGAAAAAAATGTTTCGTGAATGGGTGTCAAGGGATCCAAAATTGATTAATTTTAGAAACCATTCTTGCAGATGTGTATGGTACCCTAAAAATTTTGTTAGAATAAATAAGTACTGTGTGGTGTAAAAAATTCTTAAAGGACACCCTCTTTTACAAGCTCACAAAAACAACCTTTGGAATACCCTCACTAAATAGCTGTTGTTTTTTGCTTTCTATATACCTACATCTTGGCTATTATACAAAGATTGTTTTACTACCAGGTGTGGTGGCTCACACTTGTAATCCCAGTACTTTTGGAGGCCAAGGTGGGTGGATCACCTGAGGTCAGGAGTTTGAGATCAGCCTGGCCTACATGGTAAAACCCAGTCTTTAATAAAGATACAAAAATTAGCCAAGTGTGGTGATGGGCACCTGTAGTCCCAGCTACTTGGGAGGCTGAGGCAGGAGAATTGCTTGAACCGGGGAGGCAGAGGTTGTAGTGAGCTGAGATCATGCCACTGCACTCCAGTCTAGGCAACAAAGCAAGACTCCCTCTCAAAAAAAAAAAAAAAATGAGTTGTTTTCCAACAGCTATTCCCACCCCTCTGTGTGGAAATATTCACCCAGTCAATTGGCTTCCTAGTTTGGGTAACGGCCCTCTGGGCAGGACTGGAGTGGGGAACACAGAGGAGCAGCTGCAAACTATGTTTAGAAGCATGTCTGGGGAATGTCATGCAAGAGAAGACATATTTAAAGGTAGGCTTTGCATGAACGGAAGAGGAGGGTAATTCTATGTAGAGCAGAGCTTCTGATTTGGAGTGAGAGAAGCAGAAGTGGGAAAGCAAGAAAAATTATGCTTTCATCAGCCAAATTTGCAGGTAGGAGGATTAGCTAAGAAAAAGGAAGTCATCTTGGCTGAGGTTCATGAAACCAGGTTTTAAAAAAAGTGGACTAGATTAATTTCATTCAAGACAGGAAGAGGAGCCATGAGAGATAATCCAGAAATCATTGGAATTTGATGGTAAAAGGTATTTTGGGACTATCCCATTTGAAATGAGAAGATACCTGACATTCTTTAAATTCCTTTCAAGCAAAGGATTAAACTTAACCCTGAGTTGACTCAGAAAACCATAAAAAGTATTGTTGCTGTGCTCAAACTTTTAGCTAATTCATTCTCACTTCTTATTCCATGACGAAATGACATAAAGGAGGATTTGTTTGTTTTTTTTCTGGACCCAAGGCAAGAAAGCCACCTGGGCAGAGCTGTTATATTTCCTATGCTGTGGGGAGAAATTGGTTAATTTGCCATGGAAGGCAGCCATTAAGATGTTCCCACATGAGTGAGCCTTCCAGGGTTCCCGGATTCTGCATCCTCCCCCATTCCCCATTTCCATTGTTGGTGATGACAATGACTCTCTCATCAGCCTCATGAAGTTCTCTCTCATTTATTAAAGTTTTCTTTCAGGAAAAATTTTGAAAATGTGTCCAGTAATGCCTCATTGGCCCCTTATCCTAAAGGCTTAAAGTGGAGGAAGAAAGCTAAACTGAAAAATTTTGCAAATCATGAGCCAAAAATGTATTAACAGCAAGATCTATCATTTATTGACTACCTAGCATGTGGCAGGCAGTTCCCATTTATTTAGGCAGAGGGAGTTGAGGGGAAGGGAGGTTCACACTTCTTAAAGAGGTGCTGTCTCCTCCTATACAAATCAGGTAAGTCAAGAGAGTAAGGAGTTGTTTTTGTTTGGTTGTATTCAGGGGGTTAGAGTATACCGTAGAA